CGCACATCATGCTGTCACGCGCAAGGGAGATGGGTGCGTTTACGCGACGAGGGCGCTGGCGGTGGCGCTCTCGTACTTGAAGTTGGGGGCAACGACGCCCTTGGTGCGGTAGTAGCGGCTGAGGCGGTGGATACGGCTCTCAACGAGAATGAGGCGGAACTTGCAGTCCTTGTCGTTGCGGTTCTCCTGCAGGTGCTTGCGCATGGCGACGGCCTTCTTGATGAGGCAGTACAGGTCCTCCGGGATCTCGGGGGCAAGGCCGGCGGCCTTGAGGATGCGGAGCACCTTGGTGCCGGTGATGGCCTTGGTGGACGAGATGCCACGGCTATCACGAAGAATCACACCTGGAAACAAAACAGATTGGGGGGGGGTTGTGAAGGTTAGGCAAGGGGGCGGGGGAGGAGAGAAGAGGAGGAAGAGAGGGGAAGAAAATGGAAAGAGGAGAGATGGGGGGAGGAGATGTGGTGTGGCGAGCGCCAGTGTTCAGCATCATGTTCAGCCATCCCACAGCACACAGCAAGCATGTTAGGTGCAAACACACAGACACAACAAGACACAACAACAACAACGACGACGACGACAACAACAACAACAATAACTTACATTAAACAACAACAACAACAACGACAACAAAAGGCCCTCAAAGAGAAAGAGAAAGAGCCTCACGTTTGATGCGGTGCTGCTATGCAGGCACGCACACCAACGGCCATGACAGGCCAGGAGGTCGGCAAGAGCCAGGCATGTACAGATCAACAGCACCGCCACCCAGCTGAGGACAATGTCCAACAGCATGCACATGGTATTGGTGCTGCATGATCAACCCGAGAAACTCAAGCCCAAAGGCACGGCGTCATTACCAATCTTGGAGGGGGTGTGACCCTTGCGCGCAAGCTTCACAATGCTCTCCTTGACATCGTCAGCAGAGTACAGGTTCTTCAGCCACTGTTGTGTGGGCAACGGCAGGAGCGGTGTCAGTTGGTGTGAGTGAGTGAGTGCGTGAGCGAGCGAGAAGAGTGAGTGCGTGGGTGAGAAGAATGAGTGAGTGAGTGTGAATAGGAAAGTAAAATGTAGTGGGAGAAGGGAAGGGAGGAGAGGAAGAGAAGGCAAGGCTTGGTGGAAGGCAAGAATGGAAACAGAGGAAGCGATATGATGTGGATGGAAGAGCACCACAAACCATCACCACAAACCACCAAACCACCACAAGCACAAACGAGCACGACGGTGACGAGTACAACGTGATGTGACAACAAATCACCACCGAGAATATCGGACAGCATGTCATGTTCACAGGAGCAGTGGGAGTCTGGTCTTGAAGAAACGTACGGAGGGGGCTGTGCGGACAAAGGGGCGGGAAGAGCGGGAGATACCCTTGCCAGGTGCGTGCATGCGACCCATGGTTGGTTGTCTTGGCTTGTTCACAGAGAGAAGCACGAGGAGGACGACGAAGACGAGAGGAAAAAGGTACAGTAAAGGGGAAAGGTGATGGAACATGTTCACAAATTGTCGTCGGTGTTGGTTTATGGTGTTGGGTACTGTTGGATTGGATTGGACGGGATTGTGGCTGTGTGATGTGTGACATGTGACAGGGTGCGCATTGCGAGCACACACATGCACACACATGCACACACATGCACACGGCATAAAACCAGGCATGGGCAAAAGAAAGGCAGAGAGCAGGATGGACAGGCAAGAGAGAGAGAAAGAAAGAAAGATAAAACAGAGAAGCAAGCAGGGAGAGCAAAGGGGAAGCATCATCATGTCATGTCACATCATGTTACATACAGGGGGCAAAAAAGGGCATGCACGCATGCAGGCAGGAATGGCACTCAAATCAGATAAATCAATCAATCAGTCTGTCAGTCAATAAATGGAAAGACCGAATAGATAGTCCATTACAGAAAGCACCAAAGGAAAGGACAGCAAGAAGGGACAGGAGAAGAAGAAGAAGAAGAAGAAGGGGAAGGAGGGGGGTGGGGACAGAGAGGAGATGGAAGAAAGGGCAAAGAGTCAGAACAGTGTCAGAGAGAGAGTGTGTGTGTGTATGTTTGTGTGTGTGTATGTTTGTGTGTGTGTGTGTGTGTGATGACTCAATCACCAACAGATGGAAACAGCGAGAAGAAGAGCTGCAGTGCAACAAGGGCAGCACATGCACGATCAGTCAAAGAAGCTGCTGATGAGGTACGCGTTGAGGTCCTCGCAGGACGGATACGCCACGTCCACAAAGCATTCGCTCTCATCCGAGATTCTGT